TCCTCTTCGTCTATCCCCTTCCTCTTCGTCTGTGTATGGCATGGGCTGGCGCTGTCTTCCTGTGTGAAGCGCCAGGCCCCATTCACACCATGTAACGATGATGATGATGTATGTTCAGGGCTGCATTGCAACATTGATTGTTCGGATCACTGGTATATAAGTCTTCCGCTGTGCTATGTTATACTTTGTATCGAAAGGTCGGTTCTTGTTCTTGTCTGCACGTTACAGTATGCAACAGTTTGGTATCGGAGCGGACCTCTCATTCAAGAGGACCCGCTCAATCAAGTATCCAGCTTGCGATCTATGAGTAACGCAAGTAGGACTTAGTCAAATCTCTGAAATGTTTCTCGCAACAACTATCTGAATTTCTGATATTCGCATTTTCGTTCTATCTGAAAATTTCTGGTATTAGTAGTTCGTTTTTACGTGACAAATATCTGAAAATTTCTGATAAATCGCATTTCGTTTTGTCTGAAAATTCCCGATAGTAGCAATTCGTTTCTCTGATATTTCGCATACATAGCTGAAATTTCTGAAGTTRGTAYYTTYGTTYTCTAGGCATATTGGGATAACGATAGAAGTGGTCATATTCTCGGAAACTGAAATTATTCTTTTCTGAAAATCACATTTCCATTCTATCTCGCAAATTTTTTTTTGAAAACCGAATCTTGCGAAGCCTACCAATATTGCGTTAGGCATACTCGGAGGTTGCTATATTCTCAGAAACCGGATTTCGTTCTTTTCTGAAAATTGCATCTTTACTCCATTTCGCAAATTTTTTTTTTCAAGATCGCAGTTGGTAAAAGCCGAAACTTTGCGGAACCTAGCCTAGATCTCGTTCATAATACTCTTCTGACAGATCCTACTCATCATAAATCGACAGACATATACAAAAAAAAAAAAAAAAAGGAAGTAGTCCTCTTTTATTTTATTTGTTATTTTATCTGTTGATTAGGGCCGGAGGAAAGATTGTTGGGTTGGTTACCTCCCTCCGTTTTCCCTCCCACCCACCCCTTGCATGCATCCCGTTTCAGTACAGTGCCACGTCACAGTGCAAGATCAGCAGTGCCACGTCACAGTGCCACATCCGCAGTGCCACGTCACAGTGCCAGATCAGCAGTGCCACGTCAGCAGTGCCAGGTCACATTGCCACGTCAGACATAGTGCCACGACAGCAGTGCCACGTCAGACATAGTGCCATGTCAGGAGTGACGTCCGACACAGTGCCATGTCAGCAGTGCCACGTCAGCAGTACCACGTCAGACAGTGCCGCATCAGCAGTGCCACATCAGCAGTGCCACGTAAGCAGCAGTGCCACGTCAGCAACATGACAGGGCTGCCAGGCCAACTGGCCAATAAGACCATTGCCGCCTACAAGCAGCGTTGCCTGGCTCAGATAGAGGCTGAGGAACAACGCCTGCTGGCCGTCGAGGCTGCCCGCATAAAGGCTGAAGAGGCAGCAGCAGAAGAGAAGCTGCGGCTACAGGCCGATGCAGACGCAGATTCCAGGCTCGCCGCAAGGAAGCCCAGGATCTGCTACAGCGGCATGAAGCCACAAGCATCGACAAACTCAAGTTCTGGCTTTTTGAACCGAACGGCGACGAGGCAACACCGGAAGAGCAGTATAAGGAGTTCCTCTCCAAACTCGTGACACGGTTGCTGTATGCTTGCAACTACCAGCGGTCAGAGTTGGAGAGACAGCACCAGGACCTGGCGCAACAGCATCAGGAGTTGGCGACGCTCCGCCGCACAGTGCAGGGCCATGAGGATGCAACTCGGGCACTCAATGCCCAATTGCTAAACCTGGAACAGACTGTACCAGGACCAGCTGCTGGGGCTTCCAGCAGTGCACCCTCTAGCCGCCAACTGGAGGACCGCGTTGACCACGTAGTGGCAATGCTCGGCGACATCAGCACTTTCGCTGCGCTGACCACCACCATCAGCAGTCAACTGCATACATTGAAGACCGAGGTCCAGCAGCTGCAGACGACGAACGCAAATGGCAATCCGAAGATGTATAAGATGCCAACGTTCACTCTGGAGAAGTTCGACGACTACACGCAGCAGGATTCGGTCCTCTGGTGGGAAGCATTCACAACGCAACTCGGGATTCTGCCCGTAGACAAGGATGCGTACATCGGCGTCCTGTTCATGAACTCGAAGGGCGGATGCCAGACCTGGTTGACCCACCTGGCAACCTCCCACGGCGTCGACGTACCAGACTTGAAGGATGTAATCACATGGGAGGAACTGACACGACTGTGGAAGAAGCGGTTCATCGTCGACGACGCGCCAGCACTCGCCATCAACCGACTCTTCACCATGTCAAAGGGCAACACAGCAACATGGGACTGGCTCACGGAGTGGCAGAAGATTGCAGCTGTGCCCAATCTGAACTTACCATTCGAGCATCTACGCCGTGAGTTCTACAACAGGTCCTGTGCTGCATTGAGCCAGGCTCTTGGTGATCGCGAGCAGTACTCAACCTTCGCGGAGATCATTGACAAAGCGAGGGAGATCATCAAGACCAACAGGTTAGCTGCACACGAGAAATCAACATCATGGCAGCCGACCTATGTGGAGAAGGTACGAACTGGTCCGCGACAGCAGCACTTCGCTGCAGTCCAGCAGGATAGTGG